CGAGCCGAGCGCTCTCCCACGCGTGACAGTCCTGCGATCGTTACCAGGCCCGGTGCCCACGGCCCTGGGGCTCCGCGGGGCATTTTCCTCTTTTGCACGCGGGCGGGTCGGATGCAGAAGCGCCCGGAGGGAGTCGAAGGAGCAGGGAAACTACCTGAGAGAGTGGGGCTGGTGGGCGCCGCCTGGGAAGCCCTGGCTCCCTGTCGCTGAGGCCGCCGGCGGACAAGGGTCCAGTTACTGCCGTGCGGTCCGTGGTCACCGAGTGGCGCCCTTGCTGGGCAGTGCCTGGGAGGGGGGGCATTTGGACGCGGGCGGCCTGGTTTCCCCGTCCTCGGTAGGCTCACTCCGGCTCTAACGATGACAGTGGCAATCATGGGACCCGGGAACAGCTGCTCCCCTTGAGCACTTACTCGGAGTGAAGTGTTTCAAGTAGCAGCTCCTGGGCGCGCCTTACCGGCCCCTCCAAGGCGCGGGTGGTGCTTAATGCGGTGGGTGATGGTGGAAGAGGCAGCTGAAGCTCATTGCCCGCTGCCGGGAGCTGGTGGTGTATTCCAGTCGGAGATGCTGGACTGTTACGCTTGTGCGCCCACTCGCCGCTGCCTTCCAGCTCCGCAGGTCGGTTCGTGTTTGGGGAGGAGAACGGAGTCTTGGGGTCTCAACAGGTGATGCACTTCAGAAAGCACATTCTAAAGAAGTCGCTCCCTGGGGGCGCCAGGGTCCGGAGAGAACTCTCTCAGACGTAAATGTGGAGTAGGGGGTGCTGTCTGCACACCTTCGGAGGCAGTCACTTATAGAACAACGTGGTTATTTTTGTGAGAGATGTTTTATGACACTGACTAGGACAAGGAATTACATGGTTAGGAATCACAGACTCTTGGGACGAGCCTTTTGTGTCCCCTTAGTGCCCGTTGCTTCCTGAAACACGGTTGTTTTTGTGTGTGGGGGTTTTGTTTTGTTTTTAATACATTTTTATCGACTTCAGAGAGGAAGGGCGAGGGAGAGAGAGAGAGAAACATCAATGATGAGAGAGAATCATTGATTGGGTGCCTCCTGCACGCCCCCCACTGGGGATCGAGTTTGAAACCCCGGCTTGTGCCCTTGAGTGGAATTGAACCCAGGACCCTTCAGTCTGCAGGCCTATCCACTGAGCCACACCGGCTAAGGTCTAAAGTGCGACTGTAATGCCTGCTTGCTTAGCTTGTCACAGTGATGGACGGACTTGGGAGTTTGCAGGGAGTTGGGAAGGCAGGCAGGAAGAGGAACTCTCAAGGAAGTCTTGCACTGATGCTCAGAACTGATCACCGACTGCGCCTCTTTCGTCTGTTCCCTCAGTGACTGGCCATGTCGCTGTCCCACTTGTACCGGGACGGGGAAGGCCACATGGATGACGACGACGACGAGAGGGAGAACTTTGAGATCACTGACTGGGATCTGCAGAATGAGTTCAACCCCAACCGGCAGCGGCACTGGCAGACCAAGGAAGAGGCCACCTACGGAGTGTGGGCAGAGCGAGACTCGGATGAAGAGAGGCCCAGCTTCGGGGGCAAACGGTACCGGCTGCCATGGGGCTGCTTCCTTCTGCTTTAGGGAAGGGGCTGGGGTAGAGAGAGGGGGCCTTGGGAGCTACCCCACTAACTATACCTCTCTCCTGGCCTTGCCGAGTCCCTTAGCCAGGACATCAGCTAGGGAGGCCCGTTTTCCTCTAGAGCAGCCGTGGGCAAACTGTGGCCCTCGGGCTGGATCCGGCCCATTTGAAATGAATAAAACTAAAAAAAAAAAAAGACCATACCCTTTTATGTAATGATGTTTACTTTGAATTTATATTAGTTCACACAAACACTCCATCCATGCTTTTGTTCCGGCCCTCCGGTCCAGTTTAAGAACCCATTGTGGCCCATGAGTCAAAAAGTTTGCCCACCCCTGCTCTAGAGGCTCGAGTGCTGTCCTTCCGCTGCGTTAACCACTGCTCAGTGTTACTGAGCAGTTATGTGGGGCCTGGTGCTAGCGGCCCAGACCCCAGTGGGTGGAGACAGGCGTGAGTCAGCAGCTCACATATGGGAGTTGGTAACTGATTTAGGGTTCCCACTCGGGGCGTTGTGTCTGCCTGCAGGGCCCGAGACTACTCCGCGCCCGTCAACTTCATCAGCGCCGGCCTCAAGAAAGCGGCGGCGGAGGAGGCGGAGCTGGAAGATTCTGACGATGAAGAGAAGCCTGTTAAGCAGGAAGAATTTCCTAAGGATTTTGGGCCGAAGAAGTTAAAAACGGTAATATCTTTTTTCTTTTCTTTTTAAATATGCTTTTATTGATTTCAGGGAGGAAGGGAGTGGGGGAGATAGAAACATTAATGACGAGAGAGAATCATTGATCAACTGGCTCCTGCACGCCCCCTACTGGGGATCATGCCTGCAACCCGGGCTTGTGCTCTTGACCAGGATCGAACCTGGGACCCTTCAGTCTGCAGGCTGATGCTCTATCCACTGAGCCACACCAACCAGGGCCAAAGAACAGTAGCATCTTTATGGAAGGACTGTGGCCTTAGCCATGTCCTCGGAAGGTCACTGCAGCCTAAGCCCCTCCTAGCGGGTGGGGGCCCAGCTGGAGTCCGGTTGCTTCCGGGTTGAAGTGTGCCGTGCAGTCTCTCCACATCAGACACACACTCGGTCTGTGTGACCTGCCATGGTGCCTGCGACCGCCAGGCCATTCCCCCAGTCGAGCTTGCTTGCTTAGGTTTTCCATCACCTGAGCTCTGCTGTTGCTTTGCAGGGTGGCAATTTTAAACCCAGCCAGAAAGGCTTTGCAGGAGGAACCAAGTCGTTCATGGATTTTGGCAGCTGGGAGAGACACACGAAGGGAATCGGGCAGAAGCTCCTGCAGAAGATGGGCTACGTCCCTGGGAGGGGCCTCGGCAAGAACGCACAAGGTACGGGCCGAGGAGGGGAGTGTCTGCTTTGCTCCTTGGAAAGTATCTGGACTCCTCAGCCCGGGCCAGCACAAGACAGACTGTCTCCTATGCTGCCTGGTAGTGGGAGAGAAACTGTTCCAGATGGAGCAAACTATTTCTTTGTATTGGCTGATGAAGGCATTGAAATTCAAGAGCTCAGTACTGGAAGGAGTCAAACAAACCAGAATGTCAGAGCCAAAATTTTTCAAAAAAAAAAAAAAAAAAAGAGGACTTTGTTGCCAATATTTAAAAGTGAGACCCTCGCTCCTGAAATTCTAGACCTGCCTGCAGTGATGGGTTCAGCTAAATCCTAGCTGCCCGGGACTGCTCCTGGAGGCAGTCTCCGCCCTTCCCTCCCCCCTTCCCTCCCCTCCCCTCCCCCAGCCCCATTTGACTTGTTTTCGTTGACTTTCCTGGGCCCTGAAAGCTTGAGAGTCCGTGGTCCCTGCTTACAGGCATCTCAGCTCTGCAGAGGCAGCTGTTCGTCCTCCAGAAAATCCATAAAGCCCTGTGTGTGGCTTTTTAATAGCAGGAGCCGTGGAGCTGCAGGCCGGGCTGAGCAAACCCTGCATTTGCTCCCTCCATTCTCCCAGGCGCTCTGCCGCCTGTCCTTTCCCCCCACCCAGCCTCAGACACATGCTGGGGACACAGCTCCCCGCACACATCCCCACCTCAGTCCCAGGGCCACCAGCCCACGCAGGTGCCTTCTTCCTGCAGACGGCTTCCCTGGGCCTGGAGCCTCTGCCAGGGGCACTACCACCTGGAGTTGGTAGTAGTTTCTGTCATTCATTCATATCCCACTAAGTGACAGTTAAATCCAGGTGATGTTGAAAACATTAGCTTATGAGAAATCCACAAAGGGACGATAGAGATGGTGGCCAGGAAAGAGGAGGGGATGTTCTCATTGAGATTTCAACAGCACTGACTGGAAGTGGGAGGCGGGGGAGAGTTTGGGGGAGGGGAGATCTGTATTGAAATGCTGGGGTCTTGGTTAGAAACTGTTACTAGAACATTTCATTCCAAGGCTTACACACGTTACAAACAAGCGAAGCAGTTGGTCTGAACGTCAATTAGGTGGCTCTCCAACGCAGCTTCACCTGCTCCAGGCGGAATCGCCATACGGTGTCACCTGAATCACTGCACTTTACAGCTGAAGGCTTCCGATCCAGCAGAGAATTGTGTGCCGAGTTCCCAGTTGCAAATGAATTGTTCTCCTCTCCTCGCATCCACTACGAAATGGATGCGGGTGGAGATGGAGGTCTGTGTGGGACCTAAATGCCTCACGCAGCCCTGGTCTGTGGCAGCTCAGGGTCCAGCCACAGGACGTGGGCGGGAGTGAGGGACAGAGACAAGCTCTCCTCCCTGGGCCCCGTCTAGTGTGCATGAGGCCCCAGACATGAAATCACGAGGGGCGGATTCAGAGACAAGAACTGCTGTGACCTGAAGCCTCTCCCTTTTCCTTTTGCTGAAACTCGTCAGGTATCATCACGCCGATCGAAGCCAAACAGCGGAAAGGAAAAGGCGCCGTGGGAGCGTACGGCTCCGAGCGGACCACCCAGTCCCTGCAGGACTTCCCTGTGGTGGACTCGGAGGAGGAAGCGGAAGAGGTAACGGGAAGCCTGGAGGCGGGGCCTGTCATTTGTGTGTGTGCGTTCGCTCATTCACTGTCAGTCTTCAGGTGGCGATTGCCCCGGTCACAGGCCAGGCTGGAGGGTGGGCGGCCGTGACCAGGGGCTTAGCGCCTGTGGACAGTCGGTGGTCATCGGCGGCAGGGTTAGAAAGAGCAGCACCTGCTAAGTGCCAAGGGAGATCAGATGGGCCGGGGGAGGTGGGGGGCTTGACGTAAATGGGGTCAGGGCAGACCTCTTAGGAGGAAGACATTTCAGGTAACACCTGGCAGAAGGGAGGGCCTCAGCCACAGGGGAGTGAGGAGGCCAGAGGTCAGAGCAGCCCGGAGCCGGACAGTGGAGACCTCCGGAGGCGTGCAGGATGGCAGCACATGGAGGGGGGAGGGAGGGGCGTGCATGGCGGTGGGAGGCCCACACCGCCCGCCTAGAAGCCACGTCAGGTGCTCGGGTCTCCTCCCACGTGCAGCAGGGGCACCTGTCAGCTGGGCATCGCTTTGCTTCAGCGACAGGAGGGGCCAGCTCTCTTGATGGAGTTACTTTCTTCTCCTTTGCATTTATGGGGGAGGCAGGATGCCACAGAGACACGTCATTATTCTCGTCATTGGCCCTCTCCTTCTTGATAGTGGGCTGACGACTGAGCCACGAGGTCTCAGACTTAGACACTAACAGGTGCCAGGCATGTGGCGTCAGTGATGTAGGTGAGCAGGTGTGTGGTGGGGCCTGAGGCAGACATGTAGAGGGTAGTGTCTACCCAGCTCTAGGTGACTATTGGAATGTGGGCTCAGTGTTGCCCGATTTTTCTGATTTCCTCAAAGTAGAAGTCCAGATTATCTTCTTTTTGAGAAAAAAATTACCACTCTTTTTAAAATACATTTTTATCGATTTCAGGGAGGAAGGGAGAGAGAGAGAGAGGGAGAGAGAGAGAGAGAGAGAGAGAGATAGAGAGAGAGAGAGAGAGAGATATCAGTGATGAGAGAGAGAATCATTGATCGGCTGCCTCCTACACACCCCACACTGGTATGGAGCCCCCACACACACCCAGGCATGTGCCCTGACCGGGAATCAGACTGTGACCTCCTGGGTCCTAGGTGGATGCTCAACCACTGAGCCACGCCTGCCGGCTACCAGTCTTAAACTAACACCGTGAGAAAAACAAGTGACAAACACAGCCCACTGCTGGGGGCCGGAGTCCACGATCCTCAGGCCAAGCTCCCACCCGTCCTGTACACCTTCCTCCAGGCTCCGCAGACCCTGTGAGAGGCTCTGCCCGAAGCCGAGGGGCCAGTGGTTTGCCTGCACTTGGTTAGAACCAGGGCCTGTGTCCTTAAGTCCCTGATGCTGTTTTCTACGCTTTACGTGAGGCAGACTTAGAACAGCAGTGCCTGCCACCTAGGCGATCAGGAAATGGCTTTATTTTTGTTTCTCTTTCCAATCAGTGTACCTGCCTTCTGAACCCCACTATTTGTAAGGGGGGGCAGGTGTCGAGTATCATTAGGGTTTAGTGTCACACAGGCACAATCCTAGCATGACCTTGTGAAGGTCGAAGGGAGCGGCCCCACCTGCCGTCAGAAGGGGCCTCTGGTGTGACGGACGCACCCTCTCGTCCAGGAGTTTCAGAAGGAGCTGAGCCAGTGGAGGAAGGACCCCAGCGGGAGCAAGAAGAAGCCCAAGTACTCCTACAAGACGGTGGAGGAGCTGAAGGCCAGGGGCAGAACCAGCAAGAAGCTCACGGCTCCCCAGAAGGAGCTTTCGCAGGTCAAGGTACGTGGCCTCGGGCTCCGGGCCAGGAGGGGGCGCCTGGCCGGTTTGGTTTTGTTCATCCTCTTCTCACGGGATAGCAGCCTGTCCCTTCCCTGTGCTCACACGGTCAGTAAGTCACCTGGTTCCTGCCGTGTGCCCGGCACCCGTGTGTGAGCCGCACACCCGCCTCTGCTGAAGCTCACAGCAGTGAAGGGTTAGACTCCGTGTGGGTGTCTTCCCTGCGTGCACAGTCCAGAGACGGCTGTGCTGTGACTGGTCCCCTTACTGCTAGGCCTGTAGCCATTTCCTGGCTTTTAGATAAGCTGGTGTGCACATAAAGCCGTGTCTTTGTTTCGTTTTTAAGGACAGATTCTCAGAGTACAATCAGGTAAAGAACAGGCCGGTCTTTAAGGCTCTTAACACCGGGAAGGGTTCAGGTTAGGGTGCAGGAGCCCTCAGGGCAGAGCAGCATTGAATGTCCTTTTGAGAACAGATGGCATTTTACATGTCACTTCCCCTCGCAGCGAGGACGGCACAGGCCCACTGCCCCCACAGCTATGCACAATAGCGGGCTCTACACCTTTCCCCTCGAAGCGCGTCTTCCCGGCCCTGTGTCTGTTTCAGAGGCAGCAGTGGCGAGTGCTAACCTGTCCCTCTGCCCTCTCCCAGGTCATAGACATGACGGGCCGGGAGCAGAAGGTCTACTACAGCTACAGCCAGATCAGCCACAAGCACAACATCCCCGACGACGGGCTGCCGCCGCCGTCCCAGCAGCTGCCCCTGTCCGGCAAGGAGGCCAAGGCCCCGGGCTTCGCACTGCCGGAGCTGGAGCACAACCTTCAGCTGCTCATCGACCTCACGGAGCAGGAGATCATCCAGAACGACCGGCAGCTGCAGTACGAGCGGGACATGGTGGTGAACCTCTCGCACGAGCTGGAGAAGATGTCGGAGGTGCTGGACCACGAGGAGCGGGCCATCTCCAACCTCAGCAAAGTCCTGGAGCTGGTGGAGGAGTGCGAGCGGCGCATGCAGCCCGGCTGCAGCCACCCGCTCACCCTGGACGAGTGCGCCCGCATCTTCGAGACGCTGCAGGACAAGTACTACGAGGAGTACCGCATGTCCGACCGCGTGGACCTGGCTGTGGCCATCGTCTACCCGCTCATGAAGGAGTACTTCAAGGAGTGGGACCCCCTCAAAGTGAGTGGTCGGGGAAGTCGGCCCCGCCTCTGC